CTTCGTGTGCAAGGGGATGGAGCCCCAGGATGCAGAAGGCTCCTGGGGTTATTGTCTCTGTGTGGCCCTGGGGTTTAGATCAGATCCGCCTGAGTTTGAATTTGTGCCCTTGCTCTCTCCCACTGCACCACAGACCTCAGTCTTTACATCGGTAGGGCAGATGACGGGCAGGGGAGCTCTTGGTCTTCCTGAATTCGCAGCCAAGTGAGGACACAGACCAGAGAAATACACGCGGTAAATCCGGTGTGGTTCCTGGGTGTGGTGGTGCATCCCTGTCGTCCAAACACTCAGGGGGCTGAGGCAGGAGGATTGTCCTGAGTTGGAGGCCAGCCTGGGTGACATAGTGAGAGCCTGTCTCAAGAAGCAAACAAGCAGACAATGCGTCATATATACAACAATACCAATGGTACGGCTGAGAGGGGTGGGCTGTTAGCAGGTGAGGGGAGGGATGGTGTCTCTGAGGAGGTTACATTTGAGCTGAGATTTGAAAGCTGACACAGAGCAGGCCATGCACACATCTTGAGGAGCAACACTCTAGTTGGAGGGCACCGCCTGTGCAAAAGCCCTGGGGCAGTATGGAACCCAGCAAAGTGCAGTAGGATCAAGGAGCCCCTGTGGCTGGAGCAGAGGAAGCAAGGGGCAGAGAGGAATCAGGGGAGGGTTGGAAAGGATAGGTGGGTCGTGCAGGGACCCGAGGGCTGCAGGGTGGACTTGGGCTTTGACTCTAGGGAGCGGGGAGCCCGAAGGGCCAAAGGCAGAAAGACCTGACTCATTGTTCATGGTGCCCTCTGGTGGCTGCCACCTAGAGGACAGGCTGGGGGAGCCGGGGGCCAAATGGAGGGGGCTGAGTTGGTCATCCTGAAGCCGCAGAGGAGGGGAGGGGAGGGGAGGGAGAGCTCAGCCCCCTTACTTGGGGGAGCCTCTGCCGTGCTGCGTTAGGAAAGTGGGTTCTGGACCGCTCGGCCTGGGTTCGAATCCCAGCTGGGCCACCTCAGGGACCCCAGCCTGGCCTTGGGCCACTTGGGGCGCTTCCTCTCCAGCCTCAGCAAAGGGTGGGGAGTACAGTGGGTGCCCCATACTTGCTGCTTCTGATTTGCCTCCCGGTGGCCCAGTTTCCAAACAGTGATTCAAATTAATTACCCAGAAGCCCCCGCCCTGCCCCAGGGAGTCCCGGGACCTGCAGGGTCCTCACTGCTGTCCTACCTGCCCACCCTTCACCTTTCCCAGTTCCGATGGCCCCGGGGACAGGGACATTCTTGATGTGTCATCGCCACTTGTTATCTGAAAAATGTTTCTTTAGGGGCCGGGGATGTAGCTCAGTGTAGGTGCAAGGCCCTGAGTTCAATTCCTAGTACCGGAAAGAAAAAAATGTTCCCTTGGGCTGTCACCGCCGCTGTGCACAGATGGCGTGTCTTGAGCACTCCATTAGAATGTCACCAAGAGAGAGACAGCGTCGTGTTTGGATTTCAGCTGCTCCAGAATGTGCTGTGTGACCGTGGCCAAGTGGGCTGACCTCTGAGCCCAGGTATAAAATGAGTTCCTATCTGGGAAGAATCCCGCTGTATTGGCACACAGTAGGTGCTCAGGAAGTCTGCAATTAACATATTCTCACTATTTTTTATTTTTGGTTTTCTGAGACAGGGGATCTCTGTGTAGTCCAAGCTGGCCAGGAACTCACAGAGATCCTCCTGCTTCAGCCTCCTGAGTGGTGGGATCATAGGCATATGCCACTATTTTGTAAAGAGGAGCTCTTCCTGGGATGTTCATTCAGCTGATGTCTATTGAGCAGGTACTGAGCTGGCCTCAAGCTGGGCACGGGGGACAGAGCAGGAAACAGTGCCAGACCGCTCCGATCTGTAGAATCCAGCGTTCTCAGTCCTATTTTGCAGAGTGGTCCCTACAGTTAATTAAGCACGCATCATGCACCAGCCCCATACTCCTGCCAGTGACCCCATGGGGAGGAGAGTTCCCTCGTCACATGTGAAGACTCAGGAAGTAGGGGCTTCTCTCCTGGGCCCCTGTGGCCTCAGCCAAGTTCCTAGACAGCCCACAGCTGGTCAGAGGGGCAGAGGCAGCTGGAGGAGGCAGCTGTAAGCAGAGCCAGTAACCAGACCTGGACGGCATGAGGCCTGGGTGCTGCACTGGGTTACCCGATCCCCCTGGAGACAGGCAACAGGGCCCAGTTCCGCTTATGGAAATGGAGACGGAAACCCCCATCCTGCAGTGTTTGCTGGGGAGATGGGCTCCCAGCCTGTCGAGGGTCTCTACATCACTTACAGAGAAGCCCAGAGAGGGTACATTGGTGGCCTAAGGTCACACAGCAAGGTCATTTAACACAAAGCAAATATATACGTGCTGGGCCCAGTTCTGGTGTCTTAGGTGATTTCTGACAAGGACGAACATGAAGACAAAACAGAGTAGCTAGGTGTGGTGCGAATGCCTGTCATCCCGGGCCATGGGAGGCTGAGTCAGGAGGATCGCTGCAAGTTCAAGGCCAGCCTGGATTACTTAGCAAGACCTGTCTCAAAAAAACCAACCAAGGGCCAGGGATTTAGCTCAGTGGTTCCGCCACCAGCCTTGAAAGCTCAAGGTCCCGCGTTCGATCTCCGAGACCAAAAAACAAACAACCACAAAAACTCAGAGTGAGGGGAGAAGTCACTGTCGGAAGTGATTGGACCTGTTGCTTGTGGAGCGGGTCTGTCCGCCTCCCCACTGGCCTGGGTTCCTGTGTTTTGTCTGCCCTGTCTCCCTCTTTGCAAGGCTTGAGAGATGACTCGGTCACCCGGCGTTTACAGGCCAGGACAGCGAGGCCTGGTCCTGCTGAGTGCAGTTGAGCTGGACGTCATTTCAGGGGCACTAGGGAGCCATAGAAAGCTTTAGAGCAGTGACTCACGCTGATGCTGCAGCCAGGAGCCCCTGTGTGTGGGTGGGCTGTGTGTCTTGCTATGGAGTGGGTAGGGGCCAGAGACATTGCTTGGCCCCAGCAGGGCCCCCACATGACTGTCCATGGTCACACAGCTGGTAATGGGCAGAGCTGGATTTGAACCTGAGCCTTTCTTTTTCTCTTTTGGTTTTTTTAGACAGGGTCTCACTGTAGACCAGGCTGGCCTGGAACTCAGGGAGATCCTCCTGCCTCAGCCTCCCAAAAGCTGGGGTAAGACCACCACTCCCGGTGAACTCAGGCTTTTTATCTGATGGCATTACATGTCCATCCTGCTCTCTGGGCCTCAGTTTCCCTGGTGGGTCAGCAAGGTAGAGCACGGAGGCAGGTGACCAGTGTGGGCGACCCTAGTCACCCTGTGACCTGGAGTCCCTTAAAACTCTCTGATGGCCAAAGAGCCATGGATGGGGGCTTGGGTGATGGCTTCCTGGGGTCTGTGTGGCCACGGTGGGTGCTGCCTGGAGGGACCTACAGGGGTGTGGTGCTGACAAGCAGCTTCTGTCCCCAGTGTGGACACTGCATATAACCAGCAGTTTTTGAGCCCCAGGGGCTCACCCGACCTTAAGACACTCGAGGGGAGCAGACTCTGAACAGGGATTCACCTGCGTCTTACAGGGAGCCCCAGACTGGAAGCTCAAGTTCCCAGACTTCATGGGGTGCAGCTCTTGCGAGCAGGAGCGCAGCTTGGCTGGGACAGGTCTGGAGTTGGGGGGCCCCCGGGGTGCCGCTCCCAGCCACACTTAGATTAGCAAAGGGTCAGAACAAGCCGAAGGTTGTTGGAGTGTGACATGGGCCGGGGTCACCTACAAGCACGAAGGCTTCTTCCCATGGCCCGGTGATGGGAGGGGGGGTCTCCAGAGAGGCCACATTTCAGCAAAGTCCTGAGGGAAGGGAACAAGTTTTGTGGGCTTCTGAGAAGAGCAATCCAAGTGGAGGGTATGGCTATGCAAAGGCCCTGGGGCAGCGTGGACCCTGGTACTGCAGGAGCAAGCAAAGAGGGAGGAAGGGAGGCAAGAGAGCAGAGTTGAAAATGATTTCTAGGGGTGGCCTGGGCTGTGAAAGAGGGAGGAATGGTGGGGTGTGGACCTCCAAAGTCAGCTCTTGGTCTGATCTGTGTACGCAACCCCATTTCAGTGAAAATCCCACCGGTTTTTATCTTATTTGTGGTTTGTTTGAGAATTTACAAGCTGACACAATGAACCATTGGGAGCTAAGAAGCACCCAGAAACCCGGGCCTGAAGGGAGAGTAAGATGGGAGGCTGGTGGCATAAGCCCGTCATCCTAGCACTCTGGGAGGCTGAGGCAGGAGTATGGGGTGCAGGGCTCTCGTGAGACCTGTAACTCCCCTTAGGGACGATGCTGAGGTACAGCCGGAGCCCAGTGTGTGTGGGGAGCGGGCCCAGGTTGGAGACGGGCCCCAGGTAGGCAGGGTGGACTCGTGCAGCAAAAGTCTACTGGAGCTGTCCTGGCTGCCTCGATGGCCCGGATGGACGCAGCGTTTTCCCTTTTGTGTTCATTGTGACTTTGGGGCAGAAGCAGAAGTTGCAGGGACTCCTGCCAGCTCTGGCGAACAAAGTGGAGGAGGACGCTGTCCAGATGCCTTTCCGCTGCATGGCCCTTGGCGGCAGCACTGATGGACACTCTGGTGTGCGAGGCAGCCCAGGCTGGCTTTGAGCTCCTGGCGATCCTCCCGCCCCAACCTCCAGAGCGCTGGGACTCAGGCAGGCACCACTACACCCAGCTCTGCTGCATGGGTATTTTGATCGCAAATTGTACGGTGGAATTTCTTGCAGAGTTGAGGGGATGCCTGCCCGGGTCCCCACAGACAAATGCACACCCTCCCCCTGCAGGCGCGAGCACCCAGGTACCCTGTGCACCTGCCCACCTTGAGGTGCCTAGGACGACCATACCACACCCAGCTGGGGTGGCTCCGACAGTGGCCAGGGGCTGGTGGCCCGGCCCGACGGGTGGTGGGGCCGTTTCCGGTCGCCAGGCAGCTGCTGGCAGAGACACCTTGAATTTCAGAGAGAGAAGGGATGGTTCTAGGGGGTGGGGCAGGGGTGGAGGCCTCCGGTTACCCCAGGTCAGTGGGTAAACTGAGGCTTGGTAACATGTGTCAGCCTGAGCGGTTGGACTCCCCCCCCGCAGACCCGGGGCTCAGAAACTCAAACTCATGGTGATGCTCCTGCCTCAGCCTCCTGAATGCTGGGACTGGCTGCAACTGCTTTCTAAGTGTTTATTGAGCACCTACTGTATGCTGGGCCTTCTGAGGCACTGGGGACAACATCATAGCGGCCTCCTCTAGGCCCTTGGGGACAACAGTTCCGTGGGGCAGATAGACACTTCAGATGAGATAATGTAGGCACTCCTGGAGGAGCACGGGCTCTGTGGGGCAGAGATATTTGCCCACCGTGTCAGGGATAGCTTGATTCACAACAGCCGAGAGGCAGAGACAACCCACTGAGCCGACCAGACACACCGGGGCACCAGGGTGCAACCCTGACATCCCAGAACTCTGGGAGGCTGAGAGAGGAAGACCGCAGTTTCAAGCCAGCTTGGAAAATGTGACTTAGTGAGACCCTGTCTCAAGATGAAAAAGGAATGGGCTCGTTGCTTTGCTGGTACAAAGGCCTGAGTCCTATCCCAGTGCTCAAGAGAAAAAAGAAAAGGCCGCAGAGGCAGATGGTGCCAGGCAGAGGCCCGGGCAGAAGGGCAGCAGCACGGGGTGCAGGCCGCTGTGGGAGGCTCAGGCTGGCCCGGGCTCTGGGATCACAGTGACCCCGGGAGGCCGCGGGGCAGGGCAGGGACGGGGAGGAAACTCCTAGGGAAGCCAGGCATGTGGGGTCCGGGCGTCCGCTGAGTCACAAGTCCAGGAAGCCCAGGGTCAGGTGACGCAGCCAAGGGTCCCTTTCGGCCCTTCCTGTTTTTTGGCCTTGAAAGCTCCTCAGCAAGCAATGCAGGGCCCAGGGCCCATGTTCCCGAATCATCCTCACCTGGCAGGGCCGTGGGATTTTGGAGCCACCCAGATAGTGCGGGGCTCAGAGGTGACCCGCTGCTCAGATGGGGAAACCGAGGCACGGTCCCGCCAGAGACTTCCCAGAACAGCAGCCCTGCAGAGATTCTCAGGAGGAGCTTTTCCTTTCTGGTAGGGAGTGTGGTGCCCCGAAGGGGGGTCCTTGGGCGGGGAGGGGCTGGCTCCAGGAGCGGAATTCTGAATTCCACTCGCAGCCAGAAGCGCCGGGATCAGGAAGAGGTGGCCCCTTGGAGGTAGTGAGGCACCTGTTGCCGAGGTATTCAAGCGGAGAACAGAAAGGCGGGACCCAGGAAGGACGTCAGACCTAATAGCGCCTCCAAGGCTCCTGGACACCTGGAATAGTCTGTGACTCTCTCTGCCTGCCATTACTAGCTTGTTTATAAAATTCTGAGAGTCTTTGGTTTCATTTTACGAGCCTTTGAGAATTTTGTGTTTTGAATTCTGAGAATTTTTAAATAACATGCTTTGAGATTTTAAAAAATACATATACATACATCTTAGGTTTGAGTGTGGTGGTACATCCCAGTAATGCCAGCACTTCTGGGAGGCCGAGGCAGGAGGACTGCAGATTCAAGCCTGAGAAACTTAGTGACTTAGTGAGACCCTGCCCCCCCAAAAGAGCTGGGGATCCCCAGTCCCCAGGTCTGGAAAAATATATATGTATATAAGCATGCATTATAGTTTTGTTTATTTTATACTTTGAAGCCGTTTCCTGGGCTTTTACTTGCATATGCTCATAAATTTGTTCTGCCAATTAAAGAAGTTCTGGGCAATATGCAGGTGTGGGGGCGCACGCCTGTAATCCCAGACTGGGAAGGCTGAGACAGGAGGATCTCCACGATTTTGAGGTCAGCCTCGACTATATAGTGAGTTCAAGCCCTTGAACTACAGAGCGAGACCCTCCCTCAAAAAAAAGGCAAAGCGAAACAAAAAAGACCTGAGTATATTATTCTTTCCATTATTGTAGTTTTTTGTATTATCCCCGCTGGGCTGGGGGTGGGAGGATGGTTCTGGGCGTGAAGAGCAGGTGGACGTGCGCGCGCCCTCTAGCGGTAGAGACCGAAACTACAGGCAGCTGCGCTCACCGCCCCGCCCTCGTCCGCAGTTGTCACCTCCTGCCACCTGGCCCTCGCCATGCCGACCCCGGGAGCGCCCCCTCCCTGCCCGGCCCTGCTGCTCCTTCTGCTGCTACTGGGGGGCACCCGCGGCCTTTTCCCTGAAGAACCGCCGCCGCTCAGCGTGGCCCCCAGGGACTGTGAGTAGGGGACTGGGGAGGTCGTCTGGAGGACGGGTCCGCGTGTCCCGCTGGGAGGGGCTCCCTGGCCCGGCGCGACCTCAGGCCACCCCGCTCCCTCCCGGCCCTTGGCTCATCCCCACCCTCCAACCGCCCTCTCCCCAGACCTGAAATTCTACCCCGTGTTCGTGGGCGGGGGACCCGGGCGCCTGGGCCCTGCAGAGCCCGCTGAGGACCTGAACATCCAGCGCGTGCTGCGGGTCAACAGGACGCTCTTCATCGGGGACAGGTGTGCGGGCCTCCGGGGGAAGCGCGGGCTACGAGCCCGGGGGTGCTCTGGGGTGCTGGGCACGGAGTTGTCAGGGCGCTGAACGTTCCACGCCCGGAGCCCCAGCTGGCTTCGATGCATGCCTTCCGGGCGTGCTGGGGGACGCTCTGGTGGAGTGGTCCAGCCAGGCCCGAAATGGCCACACACAGGAATGCGTCCTTGTGAACTGTGGCGGCAGAGGTAGCATTTGGATTAAGAGCTAAACGGCGCTTCAGCCATGGGGAAGTCTGGAGAATATTTCTTTCCAGGCACTGGGCACTGCCTGTGCAAAGACCCTGAGGCAGTGCAGAGGCCAGCTCGGTGTAGCAACGGCGAGGAGGCTGTGTGGCTGGAGCAGAAGGAGCGAGGGGCAGAGAGGGAGGTGGAGAGGGGACGGGCAGTGCAGGGCGCTATGGACTGGAGAGAGAATTTGGGCTTGGCCCCAGAGAGGTGGGAGCCCTGGAGGGCTGAGGGCAGAAGAAAGACCTGACTCGGTGCTCGCAGCGCCCTCTGCTGGCTGCCGTGGGGAGGACAGGCTGGCGACCAGGACTCGGGCCTGCACTGGTCCAGGCTGAGCTAGAGGCTGGGCCAGGATGAGAAGCGGGTGGGTTGGGGACAGACCTCTGCAGAGCCAACAGCACTAGCTGGTGTGTTGAGTGTGCAAGGGGAGAGTAAGGGCGTGGGGCTCCTCACACATGGTCTGAGTCCCCCAAAGCGTGAACCTGCCTTTAACTGAGGGGTGGGGGACTTGGGGTGCAGGTTTGGGGGGCCGGATCAGGCACAGCTTGGCCATATGAAGTGAGTCCCCACGAATCGCAGAAACACAGGATGTCCGGGTCAGCTGGACCCCGAGACTGGAGAGAGGGGAGCTCAGGCCTGGACATCGGTCTGGGGCATCGTCGGGCTATTGAATCCCAGGGCCCCGAGAGTAGGGAGGCAGGGCTGGGAGGGTCTTAGAGACCGGATGGAAGCGGGCGTGCACGGCGTCCCAGGGCTGCGCGAGGGTGGGCTCCCCGGAAGAGGGCTGACCCACGGGCGGGGCGG